GAGCCCATACAAGGGCACCAGCCACATACAAGGAGACAGGTGGGTTCAAACCCAGCCCAGGCCTACTAAACAACAATGACAACTGCAACAGAAAAAAATAGCCAGACATTGTGGTGGATGCCTGTAGTCCCAGCTACTTGGGAGGCTGAGGCAAGAGAATCACTTAAGCCCAAGAGTTTGAGGTTGCTGTGAGCTGTGACTGCACAGCACTCTTCTGAGGGTGACATAGTGAGACTCTGTCTCAAAAAATAACAATAATAATAACCTCAACATAAACCTTATATTTTATATGAAACTGAAAACTCAAAATGGATCACAAACTAGATGTCAGTTGTAAAATTATAATACTTGAAGAAAAAAAAAGATGAGAAAAAAATTTAAGTTCAAGGAGTAGGCAGAGCTCATAGATATGCCACCAAAAGTGCAGTCCATGAAAAGAATAGTGGACCTGGACAAAATTAAAAACTTTCTCTCTCAAAACAAAACACCTGTAGGGAAGACAAAAAGGCAAGCTACAAACAGGAAGAAAACATTTGCAAGCTGCGTATTCAATGAAAGACTAGTACCTACAATATCTAAGTAACCCTCGAAACACAGCAATAAAAAAAAATGTTAAAAAACAAACCTTGCTGTGCTGGGCGCGGTGGCTCACGCCTGTAATCCCAGCACTGTGGGTGGCTGAGAGAATTGCTTGAGCTCAGGAGTTCGAGACTCGCCATTCATGAAAAAAAATGGAAAAACCCGCCGGGTGCCACAGCAAGTGCCTGTAATCCCAGTGACTTCCGGAGGCTGAGGCTTGGGGATGCCCACAAGCCGGAGTCTGAGGTTGCAGTGAGCTATGATGCCACTGCACTCTCATCTCAACAAAAAACACAGACAAACCAAGCTTGCTGTTCACATTGTAAGAATAGACAGTTCAGAGTAAAGGTTATACAGATGGGAAATTAGAACATGAAAAGTTATGCAGGATGTGCATGGTATCCAAAGGGAAATGCATGCATGCATTAAACCCACAATGAAGTAATACCATATATCACACACCCATCAGAATGACTAAACCAAAGAAAACAGCGAAGACACCAAGTACTGCTAAGGATGCAGAGGGACCCAAGCACTCTCACATTCCTGGTGGGCATGTAAAGTGCTACTGCCATTCTGGAAATAGTTTGATGGTTTCTTAAAGAACTAAATATGCAATTATTATACCGTTCTGCTATTAACTTCACTGCACTCTTGGGTATTTATCACAGAGAAATTAAAAAGGTATGTTCACACAAACATCTACATTCTAGTACTCACAGCAGCTTTACTTACACTAGCCAAAAACTGGACACAATCCAGATGGCCTTCAACAGGTGAACAAATAAACAATGGTACATCCGTACCATGAAAGAGTACTCAGCAACGGAAAGGAAGGAGCTACTGAGACATGCAAAATTGTGTATGAACCTTCAGGAAATTATGCTAGAGGGGAGAAAAGGCAATCCCAAAAGGTTAGAGGCTATATAACATTAGAAAACATTCTTTCAATGGCAAAATTATGAAGCTGGAGAATACAGTAGTAGTCGGATAGGTTAAGGACAAGGCCTGGGAGGGAATGACATGAAGGAGTGGGTGTAGTTATAAAAAGCAATACGAGCATTCCTAGAAGTAATGGGGACAGCTCTGTCCCACAACTCGAGTGGTTAAGCACCTGTCATAACACTGCAGAGAACTACACACGCTCTCACACAGGAAACACAGGGAAAACTGAGGACATCTCAGTCGATCTGGTGATTCTATCAGTGTCAAAACCCTAGTTGTGACATTTTTACTATATTTTTGCAAAATATTACTACTGTGGGATACTGGGTGAAGGACAGACAAGATCTCTCAGTATAATTTCTTATACCTGCTTGAGTTTAATTAGACATAATTTTTTAATCATTCACAAAGATTAACCTTAAAAATATTATCACTAATGATTAACATTAAGAATGCTAGTGAGTCTAGATTAAAGGATACTACTTACATGTATCATTTCAAACTTACCAAAACTGGAAAGAGGGCGGAGAAATGGTGAACCTGGGCGGCTGACATTTTCCATTACACTTAGGTGATTTGTTGTCTCAGAAGACCCTTCTGGGCTGGATTCTGTTTTGAACAACATTTCAATATGTAAAACACTGTCTAGAGCTAGAAGACAAGAAATCTCAACCAGGCAAAACTAGCCCCCAGGAATGAAGGGAAAAAAAAAAAAAAACATTCTCAGGCAAAGGAAAAGTTTTTTTTTTTTTTTTCCTTTTGGAGACAGTCTCACTTTGTCACCCTCAGTAGAGTGCTGTACCATCACAGCTCACAGCAACCTCCAGCTCTTGGGCATAGGTCATTCTCTTGCCTCAGCCTCCCGAGAAGCTGGGACTACAGGTGCCCATCACAAGGCCCAGCTATTTTTTTGTTGCAGTTTGGCCAGGGCCGGGTTTGAACCCACCACCCTCGGTAGATGGAGCCGGTGCGCTACCCACTGAGCCATAGGCGATACCCAACAAAGGAAAACTTTTTCAAAAAAATGATCGCTTCCGGACTTACCCTCAAAGAATGCCTAAAGGAAGATCTTCAAACTAAAAGGGTACGATGAAGGAAGGAATCTTGGGTCAGGAAGGAAGAATGAACGCAAGACAGAGCACATGGAGCAACTAAATCATGCGTACATTGCTGGTGGGAATACGAAATGGTACACCCACTCTGGAAACAGCCTGGAAGTATTTTATAAAACTAAACATTTAATGACCACAGGACCCAGCAATTGTACTTTTGTGCAGTATCTCAGAGAAATGAAAATTTATGTATGCACAAAACCTGTACAGTCCATGAGTGTTCATAGCAGCTTCACTTCTAATAGCCAAAACCAAGAAACCACCCAGATGTCCTTCAACAGGGGAAAAGATAAACAAACTGTGCTCTATCCACACCATGGAGTAGTCCTCCCCAGTAAAAACCAACCACTGCTGCAGGCAGTAACGTGAATGAATCTCTGCAGAATTACACTGCGTGGGAAAAACATCAATCCCCAATGGTTAAAGGCCATGTGAGACTATTTATATAAAATTCTCAAAATGACAAAATTCTAAAGAAGGGGAGCAGGTTAGTGTCTGCTCAGGGCAGGGCCAAGGCAGGGTAGGGGCAGAGAGGAGGAAGGCGGGTGTGCCTCTAAAAGGCAATAGGTGGGATCACTGTGGTAATAAAAATGTTCTGTATCTTCTCTGTGAAAAAATATTTGGAAATCTACTCATGTCATTAAATTATACCAAATGGAACGCACATTCACACATGGGTGAAATGGGTTTTAACACCATACTATAGTTCCGTAAGACTACAGTGGGGAAAGTAGGCAAGAGATCTCTCTGTATTATTTCTTAGAACTGCATGTGCAGCTAAAATGGTCTCAAAATGACTTTCAATTTTTCATTAATTTTTAATTAGGAAAAGCTACTAGTAACTCACATTAAAGGAATTAATGAATCCAAATTTCATAGCATTCTTTATAGTATCATTTCAAACTCGCCCAAACTGAAGTATGTTGGCCACTACCCTTTTCCAATGAAGGTGGGTAACTTATCATTTGAGGCTCGAGGCTACTTTCTACATTAACTAACATTTCTATAAGGAATGTATTGTTCTTTCTTTTTATCGGACGAATATAAGGGTACATACAATTAAGGTGCATTGCTTGCATTTGTTAGGTAAAGTTCAAGTTGCAGTTGAGACGTTCACCTCAGTGTACCACACACCCCTACATTGTACCTGATGCATGTGAGAGCGCACCACACCCCCCTTCTTGAATTTACATGTGTTTTCCTCTCCTGTGGGTGTTGTAGCTGAGGAATGCATTTTTCAAATGCTGTGAGAAACACTCCCAACTATGTATTCTATACCGGTGAAACTTTCATTCAGAAATGAAGCAAAAATAAAGCCATTCACAGACAAAGAATAACCAAAAGTAGTTCTTACTAGCTGACTTATACCTAAAAACTGGCTAAAGAAAAATCTTCCGTCAGAAAGGACAGAAGGAATAGAGCATCAGGAAAAAAGGAAGAGCAGCCATGTTGCTGCCAAGAAACTAGATCACGCACACATTGCTGGTGCAAATGGAAAGTGGTACAGCCACGCTGGGAAACAGTTTGTCAGTTTCTTATAAAACTGAAGACGCAATTACCAAAGCGCCCGGCGACTGCACCCTTGGGCATTCATTTCAGAGAAATTGAAACTTGTGTGAATGAATAAAATGAAGCAAAGCTAAAAATTTGCACGAGTGTTCACAGCAGCTTTACATCTAATAGCCCAGAACAGGAAACTCCAAGGGCTTCGATGGGCAAAGTTATAAACAAACCCTGGTACACTTAAACCATGAAATATTCCTCAGCAATAAAAAGGAAGGAATGACTGATACACACAACAGTGTGGATGGGTCTTCAGGGAATTATACTGAAGGAAAAAAGCCAACCCTGAAAGGTTACATACCATTTGATTCTTGATTCCATGTATACAATACTTGGGAGAACAGATTAATGATTGCCAGTGGGGGGGAGGCAATGAGTGATAGTGCTGACTGCAGAGAAGTGAGTTTAGTTATAAAAGAGCAGTATTTGGGTCCATGAGAGTGATGAGACCGTGCTAGGGCTTGCCTGTGGTGGAGGACATATTAACCTACATGTATAATAAAACAGAACTAAAACATACACATACACACGCGCACAAATAAATACAAGTAAAACTGTGCACATTTTAATAATATCTGTGCAAGGTATCACATCAATACCCTACTTAAAAGGATTTTCCATAGTTTTTTTGCAAGATGTTACCATTGGGGAAAAGTGGGGAACAGAAACACAGGATCTCTCTGGATTATGCAGCTACGTATTTCTGAAAATAAAAACTTTAATTAGAAAAAGTTACCATTAACATTCATGTTGATGAATCTAGATTAAATAGTGCTACATATAAGCTCGTTTCAAACTCACCAAAATTCTGAGGGATGCCGGAATATGATGAAGGAATAATTTGGTTACTGTCGTTTTCCAGTAACGATGGGTATTTTATCAACTCAGGGCTCCTTTGTACGTTGGCTTGTGCATTGACTAAGATTTATATAAATAACATATTTTCAAATATTGAAACACAAGAAATATAAACTATGAATTCTATATCAGGGAAAAGTACCCTTCAAGAATGAAGGGAAATAAAGACATTCTCACACAAGGTGAAACTAAAAGTATTTGTCACTAGTTGCCCCATATACTTAAAGAATGGCTAAAGGAAAATCTTCAGGCAGAAAAAAATGGTAAAAGAGCAAATCTTGAATCAAAAAGATGTTTCTTCCTTCAAAAAGGAATAAAAAATAACAAAAGCAGCAGAAATATAGGTGTGGGGCAGCACCTGTGGCTCAAGGAGTAGGGCACTGGCCCCATATGCCGAGGGTGGTGGGTTCAAAACCAGCTCTGGCCAAAAAAAATAATAATAATAAAAAATAAAATTAAAAAATAAATTTAAAAAAAAAAAGAAATATAGGTGTGGAGAAACTGGATCATTCATGTGTACTTGGTGGGAACGTAAAATGGTATGGCCTCTCAGGAACACTGTTTGGCAGTTTGTTATAAAACTAAACATGCAATTACTATTCAATCAAGCATTTTAACTCTTGGACATTTATCCAAAAGAAACCAAGATTTATATTTACATAAAAATCTGTATATGAATGGCCACAGCAATTTTACTTGTAATAGTCAAAAACTGGAAACAACCCAGGAGTCCTTGAATGGGCAAATGAATAAACAAAGTGTGGTCTCTCTGTATTATGAAAGAGTACTCAGCAATAAAAACTAAAGTCTACTGATACATGCAACAAGTCAGTTGAATCTCCAGGGAATTAGGCTGAGGCAGGTGTAGTTATAAAAGAACAAGATGAGGCATCCTGGTGGTGATGGGAGCATTCATCTTGACCATGGTGGTGAGAATCAAACCTACTCATATGTCAAAATTGAATAGAACTAATTCACATTCACAAATCAATACAATCCAACTGGGAAATCGTCATAAGATCTATGGATTATATCAAAGTCAATATCCTGGTTGTGATGTTCTACTATAATTTGGCAAAATATTATTGAGAGAAGGGAGTGTAACGCAAAAGGCACTTCTCTGTATTACATCTTACAACTATATTCATATCTTAAACTACCATGAAATTAAAAGTTTGTTTTTTTAAGAAAAGCTACCACTAGCTTTATATTAAGGGTATCAGTAGATCTAGACTAAACCCTGCTACTAGCAGCACGTATCATTAAAAACTCACCAAAACTAGGAGGAATGGAGATAGATGGAGAGGTGGCATGTGGGCCACAGTCATTGTCCAATACTGAGGAATTCACTGTTCCACTGTTGTTTTCCATGCTGGTTTCTGATGGGTTTTCTATGATTATAACTTTTTCAAGGACTGAAAGACAAGAACTCTCAACTATGAATTCTATACTGGATGAAATTAAAGGAAGAGGAAATGAAGACATCCTCACAAAAAGGAAAGTTAAAAGAATTTGTCCCTAGCAGATATACCCTTAAAAAAAGAAGCTAAAGGAAAATCTTTGAATACAAAAGAAATAATCTTGGAGCATCAAGAAGGAAGAAAGGATGATGGAACATTGGAAATATATTTGTGGAAAAAATGAAACACTGAATTACTACTGATAGAAATAAATTATGGCACAGCCTTTCTGGGAAACTTTTTGGCAGTTTCTTATAAAGTAAAACATGCTGCTACCATAAGACCCAGAAACTATACTCTTGGCATTCGTGACAAAGCAAAGAAAATTTATATTTACACGAAAATCAGTACATGATATCCAAAAACTGGAAAGAAGAGAAACCAAATGTCCTTCAATGGGTGAATGGTTTTCAAAAAAAAAAAAAAAACCATTCCTATCTATACCATGGAAGCTATTCATCAATTACAAAGAACCCTTGAGAATTAAAAACTTCTATTTATACAAAAAATGTGAACATTAATATTCACAGAAGCTTTACTCTCAATAGCTAAAAACAGACAAAAAAAAACTATCTTGAATGTCCTTCAGCAGGTGAATAGTCAAACAAAAATGTAGTCTATTCATACCACAGAATACTATTCAGCAATAGGAACAAACTATTAATACATGAAATAACTAGGATAGATCTCCAGGAAACTAAGCTGAGTGAAAAAAAGCCAATCCCAAATATGATTCCACGGATGTAACAATCCGAAGACAAAATTATAGAGATGGGGAAGAGATCAATGGTAGCTAGGTGTTAGTCATCGGTCAAGGGTGCAGGGAAGGGTGACCTCAGTGTTGAATATGGTTACTAAAAGGTATTAAGTACAAGGGCTCTTTGAGCTGATGGAAGTGATCTCTACATTGACTGTGGTGGTCAATAAATAACCTATTTATTCATAGAATAAAATCACATAGCACTAAATACGCACATAGACACACACCAATGAATCCAAGTAAAACTGGGACCATCTCAATAAGATCTATGGATTGTAGCAATGTGAATATCCTGGAAAAATATTATTGGGGGAAATTAAGGGTATACAAAATCTCTCTGTATTATTCTTTATATTTGTGTGTGATTCTGAAATATCTCAATATGAAAAGTTCAATTTTTCAAAGCTATCACTAAGAATTAATAATTTTGATGAATCTAGATTAAAGAGCACTGCTTGCAATATGCATCATTTTAAACTCACAAAATCTAGAAGTGGAGGAAACAGATGAAGAGGCAGTATCTGGGCCTTGTATATTTCCCAGCAGAGCTGGGTAATATATTGTCTGAGGGTTGCCTTCCGTGGTTTCTTTTCCTGGCATTTCTATAAGTATAAATTTTTCAACTGCTGCAAAACAAGAATGTTATAAGAATTCTTAAGAATGAATTCTATACAAAGTAAAAGTACCTTTCTCGGAAAAAAAGGTAAAATAAAGTCTTTTCTTAAACAAATAAACAACAACAACAAAAGAATTTAAAGAACTTGTCCCTAGCAGAGTTACCTGTGTAAAAGGTTAGAAAAAAGTTTTCAGACTTGATGAAAAAAGGAATCTTGGAACATCAGGAAGGAAGAAAGAATACTGGAAAAATCAGAAATATGGACGTGAAGAAACTAGATCAGCCATATGTGGCTGTTGGGGATGTGTAATAAATAGTACAGCCTCTCTGGGAAACTTCTAGGAAAATTCTTATAAAACTAAACATGCTATTGCCATAAGACCTAGCAATTGTACTCTTAGCATTCCTGATGGAGAAATGAAAGCTTACATTTAAACAAAAACCAGTCTATGAATGTTCATTAGCAGATTATTCCTAATACTACATACTAAAAAGTGGGAGAAAATAATGTCCTTCAATGGGTAAATGGTTCAAAACAACTCTTGTGTATTCCAACCATGAAAAACTATTGGGCAATAAAAACGGAGGAACTATTGATATACACAACAATCTGTGTAAGAGCCCTCAGGGAATTATACTGCCAGAAAAAGGAATCTGCATACTGTAAGATTCCCTTTATGTAAACACTCTTAAAGTGACAAAATTATAGAGGCCAGTGTTTGGCAGGGATTAGAGAACAAACACTGGGAAGGAAAGGGTCACCTAAGAGAGGTGTGAGTAGCTATAACCAGCAAAACTAGGCAGCCTGATGGTGACAGAAATGTGTCTTAACTGTAGTAGTAGGAATCAAACCTACTTGTAAGAAATTTGCATAGAAATAAATATAAACACACACAAATTTCTGCAATTAAAACCAAGGACATCTTAATAACGTGTGTATTGTACCAATGTTGATACCCTGCTTGTGTTATTTACTACATCTTTACAAGATAATATTGTTAGGACAAAAGGGCAAAGCATAAAGAGGATCATTTATGTTACTGCTTAAAAATACATGTGAATTTATCAGTGAGACCACACCTGTGGTGCATTTTGCAAGGGTACATGTCAAATCTATTAAGTGTAGACTATAACTATCTTAACACAATAATTAAGTGAAGTGAAAGCTATGTTAACCAGTTTGATGTAAGCATTCCAAATTATATATAAAATCAGCGCATTGTACCCCATAAATGCATTAATGTATACAGCTATGATTTAATAAAAAATAAATAAAATTATTTCAAACTTAAAAGCTAAATTTTAAAAATGAGCTACAACTAGCCTGTATTAAGGATGCTGATGGATCCTGATTTAATACTGCTACCTGTAATGGAGCATCTGAAACTCACCAAAATGAGTAGGGGGTAAGACAGATGAAGAGGAAGTACCGTGGTCACTGTCATTTCCCAAAAAAGTTGGGTAATTCACTGCCTCAGCATTGTTTTCCAGGCTGGTTTCTATTTTTGGCATATCTATAGAAAGAACATTTTTCAAGTACTTAAGAAGTGAACTCTCAACCATGCATTTATATGTAGCAAAACTGTCTATAAGTAACTTATAGGAAATGAAGACATTCTCATATGAAATAAAACAAAAATTATTTATCCCTCCTAGACATACCCTTAATGAAAGGCCAAAGGAAAATCTTCACACAGAAAGGATATGATGATATTACAAGATCATATGCTATTAAGGAAAAATAAGATTAATCAGTGAGACCTCACCTATGGTGTATATTGCAAGGGTACATGCCAAATCTATTAAGAGTAGAGTATAAATGTCTTAACACAATAATTAAGTAAGTGAGGTGAAGGCTATGTTCACCAGTTTGATGTAAGCATTCCAAATTGTATATAAAATCAGCATATTGTACCCCATAAATGCATTAATATACAGTTATGATTTAATAAAAAATTAAAAAAATAAAAAGATGAAACGGTATGATGAAAGAATGGATCTTTAAGCACTAGGAATAAAGAAATATTGATAGAAATAGTAGAAATATGCATGAAGAGAAACTGGATCACTCATACATTATTGGTGAGGGGATGAAATGCCATAGTCCCTCTGAAAAAAAATTTAGCAGTTTCTTGTAAAACTAAATATGGATTACCATATGACCCAGAATTGTACGTAAATTTATGTTTACACAAAAGTCAATATACCAATGTTCATAGAGCTTTCCTTATAATAGCCAAATACTGGAAACATCCCAGATGTCACTCAATGGGCAAAGAGATAAACAGCTGTACATCCATACCATGGAATAGTACTTAATAACAAAAATGGAGGAACTATTGATACATGCATCAATTGGCGTGAATCTCGTGAATCTCAAGAAAGCCACATCCAGAGATGACATAGTATTTGACTCCATTTAAGTAACAATATTCAAGTGACAAAATTATAGCAAGGGAGGTCAGATCACTAGCTGTCAATGGTTAAGAAAAGAGAGTGTGGGAGGGAAAGGACACCAGAGGGAGGTGCTTGTGGTTGATAAATGAGGGATCTTCGTGGTGGTGATGAAAATGTTCTGTACAGTAACTAGTGGTGGACATGAAACTAAACCAACTCATGAGATAAAACCACATAGAGTTAAATACACACATCTAAATGTGAACTTAATCAATGTCAATGTCCTTGTTGTTACCTTTTTTTTAATTTGTATTAAATCATAGCTGTATACATTAATGCATTTATGGGGTACAATGTGCTGATTTTATATACAATTTGGAATGCTTACGTCAAACTGGTTAACTAACATAGCCTTCGCCAACCGCACTTACTTAATTGTTGTGTTAAGACATTTATACTCTACACTTAAAGAGATTTGACAGCCCACATCACAAAATCCCAAAACTACAGATGCTGGTGGGGATGTGGAGAAAAGGGAACACTTCTGCACTGCTGGTGGGAATGCAAGCTAATACATTCCTTTTGGAAAGAAGTTTGGAGAACACTTAAGGATCTAAAAGTAGACCTGCCATTCGATCCTGCAGTTCCTCTACTAGGTGTAAATCCTGGTTGTGAAATCTTAACTACGGTTTTGTAAGATGTTATCATTGGAGAAAATGAGTAAAGCACAAATGGGATCTCTGTATAATTTCTTAGAACTACATATAAATCTAAAATCTCAAAATAAAATGCTTAATTTAAGAAAAGAGTTACCACTAATTTGGATTAAGAATGTTGATGGAAAATAAACTCTCAATCATAAATTATATGCAGAAAAACTATTCTGAAGAAAGTAGGGAAAATATATTTTTGCTAAACTAATTGTTAGCTACCTTAGGAAAGCTACAATCCAAATGGAGCCCTAGACTACGGGGAAAGAAGGGGGGTGGGGGGGTAGGGGAGGAGGGGAGGGGGAGGATGGATGAAGAGAATGATATTGTGGGGATCATGCCTATAGTTTATTCTATTTGGGTACAGGTGAATTTCTCTAAAGGTTGAATATAAATGTCTTAGCATAACAATTACGAGAAAGATACGATGGCTATGTTGGCCACCTGGATGAGAGTTTTCCAAACTGCATATAGAAGTAACACCATGTATCCTATGAGAGAATTAATGTACACAATTATGATCTAATAAAAAATAATAATAATAAAAAACCTTAAAGAAAGATAAAATTATTCAAATGGAAAGGAATTTATAAAAGAAGGAAATCTGGAGCACTGGGAAGGAAGAAAGATAATAGAACAGACGTACAAATATGGGGAAACTACTGTGTTTCCCCAAAAATAAGACATTGTCTTATATTTATTTTTTCTCAAGAAGACACACTAGGGCTTATTTTCAGGAGATGTCTTATTTTTATTAAGTATAATACAACAATCTACATTTATTCAAATACAGTTAAGTCATCTTCTTCTGGAACCTGACAGGGGGAGCCAACCTTGTTGGTGGGGCTGGCACTAGGGATGCGTGAACTCTTTTCCCCTAGCCGTTCCGCTCGCAGGTGCACAATAGGATGCCTGTGACTGCGGTTACCACATGCACAGCCGTGCAAGTGTGAATGGCTCGGAGAAAGGAGCTGTGGCAGATAAAAGGTATTCCAGTCTTCCTTACCGCTCGGCGCATAGCCATGCCCATCACTAGGTCTTAATATTGGGGTGGGGCTTATATTTAACAAATGCATAGAAATCCTGCTAGGGCTTATTTTGGGGGTAGGTCTTATTTGGGGAAAAAACATGGTAGATCACTCATACATTACTGGCAGAAATGGAAATGGCAAAGATTCCCAGAAAAACTGGAAGTTTCTTATAAAAGTAAACACACTATTACCATAAGACCCAGAAATTGTACTCTTTGCAGTCAAGACACAGAAATTAAGACTTATATTTACACAAAAACTGCCCATGAATATTTATAACAGCCTTACTGCTAATATCCAAAGCCTAGAAAAACACAGATATCCTTTCAACAAGTGAGTGGCTAAACGAACTGCGGTACAGCCATACCATGAAATATAATTCCCAAGTAGAAATAGTTGAGCCCTTCATCCAAGGGGTACGCTGTACACCCATTTGTGGTGCCCGTTAGGTGAGTACTCAACTACAACTTGAACTTTACCTTAGAAATGCAAGCAATGTAACCTAATCATTTGTACCCTCATATTAATCTGAAATTTTAAAAAAAAAAGAAAACTTATGTTTACACAAAAAGCCGTATACAAACGTTCACAGCAGCTTTATTCATAAGAGCCAAGAACCGGAAACAATCCTCATGTCCTTCAATAAGTAAATGGTTATAAATAAACTTTGGTATATGCATATGATGGAATATTGTCAGTGATAAGAAATAAACTATTAATCCACGCCACTTGCATGACTTTTAAGTGAATTAGGCTGAATGTAAAATTTTTAAAAGTCCTCAAAGGGACTTGAGGATTGCATGATTCTATTTATACTACATATAATACCATTAAAACAACACAATTAGGGCGATAGAGAATAGATCCTGGTTATTGGTGATGAGGTTTGGGGAAAGGAGGTGACTATTTAAGGGCAACGTGAGAGAGTTCCTTTGTGGATTTGGAGTAATTCTGGATTATAAGATGGTTACTTAAATCTACTCGTGTGATAAAATATCACTGAACTGTACACCAAAAACAGATAAAGAGCACACATAAATACTAGTGAAATCTAAATAATGTGTCTGCCTGGGCTGAAAGTATTAATATCATAGTCACTTTTCTGGTTTTGACCGTGTACTGTGGTTCTGTAACATTGGGAGAAGCTGGCTGAAGCGCACACAGAGACTTTACACTGTAATTTTTGCAACCCTTGTAAGTCTTAAACGTTTCAAGATAAAAAGTTATTTTTAAATTTTTTTAAAAAGTAAAAACAGAGAAAACTGTTGATACATGCAATAACCTGGATAGGTTTTCATAGAATTATGCTAAATGAAAAAAATGATGTCAATCTCTAATGATTATATACTGTAACATTTCTTTAATATTCTTGAAGTGCCAAAATTATAAACAGAGAACAGATCAGTAGTTGCTAGGTGTTAGGGATGGGGTAAGCTGGAAGCAAAAGGTGACACGAGGGGAGTGATTGTTATCATCAAAGGGTAAGATGAGGCATCCTTGCAGTGATGGAAACGCTCTGTATCTTGACCATGGTGGTGGACATCAAACTTACTCTTGCAATAAAACTGCACAGAACTAAATATACACATACAAATTAATACAAGAGGGGCAGTGCCTGTGGCTCAGTGAGTAGGGTGGTGGCCCCATATACCGAGGGTGGCAGGTTCAAACCCAGCCCTGGCCAAACTGCAACAAAAAATAGCCGGGCATTGTGGTGGATGCCTGTAGTCCCAGCTACTTGGGAGGCTGAGGCAGGAGAATCGCCTAAGCCCAGGAGTTGGAGGTTGCTGTGAGCTGTGACTTCACAGCACTCTACCAAAGGCAATAAAGTGAGATTGTCTCTAAAAAAAAACAAACAAATTAATACAAGAAAACCTAGGAATATCTTGGCAAGATCTGTGGATCATCTCAATATGAATATCTTAGTTGTGGTATTTTACTTTTAAAGGTATCATCCATCCCTGGGGGAAATGACCAAAGGATAAACAAGATCTCTGTATTATCTCTTACAACTATGTGTGAATCTAAAATTATCACAACCTAGAAAGTTCAATTTAAAACGAGTCGCACCAACTTGCACTAAGAATGTTAGTGAATATAAATTAAACAGTGCTGTTTGTACCATATCAAACTCACCAGTACTAGGAGTGGAAAGAGGTGAATAGGCTGAATCTTGGCCACTGTTATTTCTGAATAAAGTTGGGTAATTCATTCTTCCAGTTCTGTTCCCACCAATTTCTTCGCTTACTGGCATTTCTATAAATAAAAATATTTTCAAGCACTCTAGCACAGAACTTTCATCCACAAACTCTATACTAGGGAAACAATCCTTCGAGAAAGAAGGGGAAATAAAGACGTTCACACGCTAAGGAAAACTAAAGCAATCTGTCCCCAGCAGAATTACCCTTAAAAGAAGGTTACAAGGAAATCTCCAACCAAAAAGTTAAATATGAAAGAAGAAATTTGGGATCATCAGGAAGGAAGAAAGAACAGTAGAAAGAGCAGAAATACTCTGCTCTATGTAGCTGGCATAGGGTGACCAGATTTTAACATTTGTAAAGCAGGACAACATGGCCGGGGGG